TTCTATGATTCTATGATTCTATAAGGTCCTCAGGGAGCATCCTTAGGGAGCTTTTTTGGACTGTCTTGGTTCATGTATAAGAGTGTCTTCCACAGGACATGGGGGGACATGGGTTTAATGTCTGTTTATTGTGTTTTATCCCCTCTGTTTACTGAAGAGTCTAAGCTGAAAGTGCTTTAAATATATAGTATAAAAATGCATATTCAGTTTTGGGAAAAAAAAATACACATGGGCAGTTTTGCTGAAACAGATGGACACTTACTGAAAGTGCTTAGGAGAGCAGGGTTATTCCATGTCCTGAAAAAAGCAGTTATAAGTCTAGGTGCCGTGGAATTCCTATTCCCTTCAAATGCTCTACAATTCTTGTCTTTAATATGCAAATTTTGTTCTTTAATTTTTATTAAATTTTATTAAAGTATATTTCTGTGCCTTGCCTATAAATATACATCAAGAGGAACAGAATGGAATGCTAAGGACCTCATCACTGAATTACTGAAGAAAACATATTTTTTTTTGGTAAATTATTCTCTGCTCCTACCATTTGATAATGAACCTTAAAATAACTGATGGGATTTCATGGCTTTATAGTAAATTGTGCTGCAAATAGTCAGTATTCAAACATGATCCATTAAGTGTTCCAAATAATTTTCTTGCAAATAGTCAAGTAGACTAATTCATTATGCATCCATTAAGATGGATTCATTCATGATTTGTGTTTATACTGGATCCTTTTACCTTCAGGAACACTGTGTGTGTACGCATAAAACAGTAATGGAAGTACATCAGCAAGATCAAATAGCTCACTTGGTTTTAGGGAGCAGGACTTGTTTATTTGTGTTAGAAGCTTCACTCGAACAGTTTATAGATGGCATGTAATTTTAAATAATTGATTTAGTTCTGATTTCTGCTAAGGAGTCACGGTTTTATAGTTCTTCTTTCATAGAACCTGATTCCAAAACTGCTGCTACTTTTTAGTGGAGGAATTCTTTAGTCCAAAATATGATAACTGGCATAGCAGCTTTAAATAGTATTACTTGTTTCTTTCTGCTTGGGTACTTTTAATTGAAAGTGCATAATTGAAAAATTAGAATTTTTTTCAAAATACAAATAAGGTAACATTTGAAAAGTGAAAGAAAAGTTAAAAAAAAAAAAAGGAAAGAAACCTCCCTTTTTCTTCTGAGTCATCTTCTAACTCTTTGGTCTGCTGTTAGAAATTAGAAATATCTGCTGGGATTACTGTAGTAGAAAATAACATCTTCAATTTTATTCTTACCTGTGACCATATTTTCAAGAGAGGCAAACACTTAGGTGAATGGAGCCCTTCCCAAATATTTTACTGAGCAGTCTTATGGAAGGCGGGATGACAAACAAATAACTTCTGATCCCTCCATTCTCTCATGCTTTCCCAATTTAGGTTAGGAAGTGTGATGTCCAACTGAAATGACATCAGTCCATCCCTTGGAACAGTATGTCACGCAGATTTATATAAATACATGCAAATAATCTCCATGGGGACCGAGTGTGCATCCTTACATTCCGCTGCTTAGGAACAGACATACTCACTGATCTGTCTGCAGACACAATCTCATCTCACACAATAGCTGTGTTTAAATGTGTTGGTTAACTCTCTGAACCCACAGGCCGGTGTACGGCTTATCTGCCTTGCTGGATTACCAAGGAGATGCGGTTCAGAGTTCACTACATTTTCTGATTTCCCATTTAATATTTGAAATGGAAATGACTTCTTCTGGCAGGAATATAAAAATGGAGGTAATAAGAAAGGCTTGAGGCTGAAAGGCTGGAACTAGCAGGCTTTTATTTGAGTTCTGCCACATATTCTCTCAATGACCTTATGCAAATCATTTAACCTCTATGCATATTGGTTTTCCATATGTAAAATGTGTATCTCTGGATATCAGTAGGTTGTTATAGGGCCTAATGTGATAATTAGATCCAGATCTTGCAGTGCTAAGTAACCTCAACTGACTCTGACTTCGATTAGAATTGAGGGCACTAAACCCCCCTTCAGCATTCAGATCTTATTGAGGCAATACCAAACTGCAAGTTAAGGTAAGAATGAAATAATCTGCATAGAGCAAAAGCACAAATCCAAAACATAGGTCAATTGGATTATAAAAGTACGTGACATTGGTACAATGCAAGATAGAAAGTCTGGTCATGCTGGTGACACTGGGACCAAAAATTCTGGTCCAGCAGCAGCAGGAGCTGCCACACACAGGTGATGGGGCTGCCGTGTGTATCCAACTGGGTGGCTGCCAGCAGCAAGCCAGCTAAGGCAGAGCTGAAGTCATTTTGTGATGGGCTGGATAATCACCCAACGCAGATAATCAAGAATTGCCAGCCTTTGTAAAGCCTTTCCAAGTCATCTATGCAAAAGCGAAGAGGATTTGGCTTAACATTTAATATATTTACTACTTTTATGTTGCAGAAGTGTGTAAGCTAATTTGAGTACCAGCTTTCTGAATGCTACCATATTTTTATTCTGAGCTTCATGCTTAGAATAATTATTTGAAACTTTATTTTCAGTTAAGATGAGTTAGTGTATCATGAGCAGAACCTTCCCTTCCCCCTGCGTTCTTTCTTTTGCATGTAATGTGGCTTGAAGTTTGCTGCTTAACACTAAATTTGTCTTTGGAATTTGGCCAGTGCACAGTAGTAACGTTTTGTGTTCCCTATTAAAATCTAGGGTTTTGTGACTCATCTAGGATAGCTTTGTTTCCAAGAGTTGAGGGGGAAAAAGAGAAAAAGAAAAAAAAAAAAGAAAGGGAGGAGAATGCAGACAGTACCTTTCCCAGTAGGGATTCTGCTGCAGGCTGCAGGCTAGCACATACTTTGCTTTTCAAAAGGAGACAATCAGTCATTCTTTCTCCCCCAGCAGACTGCAAAGTATTACAATGGTGCAAAACTCTGACAATGGAGATCAAAAGGAAGAAAAAGGAACAAAGAAAACATAAAGAGCTTTGTTTGCAGGGAGAATAAAATACTTTAATATGATAAATTCCTGTTCTTCAAAACTCTAAACACATGGCCCCTAGGAAATTGTTCAGTCGCCTGGAATTAATGTTCTGTGTTCTGTTCTGGGGGCAGCAACGGTTTGTAACTGGCACACACACAAACTCTGTATCGAACCTTCGATTAGGGCTTCTCTTTAATGCTTGACTCTCAAAGAAAATTTCAAAACAGAATATAAATTAAAAAAGAAATCCCTCTCCATTGAACGTTGAGTGATAAAACTACTATGCCACTTCACCTTATCTCTAACAATTAAAGTTATTAGTGCGTTGCTCAGAGGCATAATGAAATTCCAGTCATATGTTATTCTTGGATTTATTCTAATTGATTTAAATGAGGGTCAGAGAGTGCTAGACAAGTTTCTAAATATTATTAATATCATCAGTTACTGTCTTACTGTGCACTATTTTTAATTTATTTTATTAAAGAGCTTTTATATTAAAAAAAAATAAAATTGGTAATTAAGTATTTGCTTTTTTAAATTTTGGCCAGATTTGTTCACCACAATTTAGTAATGCAACCCTCTGAAACATTCATGCTATGCAGTGCTATATGTATGTATATCTGAGGATTTATTTTCTTATCTTTATTGCTGCTTTTTTAATTGTCTTTGTCTTCTAGCTGGATCATCTGTCTGGTTTCTTCAGCAGATATCCTCTTTGATTTTGGTTTTTGGCTTTTTTTTTTTTTTGAGTCACTTCACAAACGGTGTATTGGAGCACTGCTGAGATTTTGTCATTCAAAGATACACTGGTGTTCTTAAATGTGTGGTTTGAAATGATCAAACATCTGACTGAGTCAATAAGCACTGTGTTGTTTACTCTTGCACGTGACTTCATATCTTGAAAGCATGCGATTGTGTCTTTTAATGTAAGTTTGTTTTAAATGTCTTGTTTCCACATTTTATTGTTGCATTCACTTTTTATTCTGCTTTGTTTACGCACCTCTCAATCTGGATTAAGCAGGTCTGTGAATCTTCTCAATGCATGCAAACTGAAAAAGCCTACTCTAAGGTGAGGGATCCTTATTTGTAGTGTTGAAGCTCAGTTGTTTTTCCTTTCTGTTTCCATTCAGCACATAGAAAGTGGCTGTTTTAGTACAAGAACTAACATGGTAGAACTGTAATTATTCCCATTTTTAACATTTTCAGAAATAAGTGTTTAAAACTTTCTCATCATTGATAAATGCATTGCGAAATTTAGATAATTTTATGGTATATGCATGTTGTCTCATGCTAACATAATTTTTATTATAGGGGTGTTTCATTAGACCACATTGTTGTCTTAAGTTAGAAATTGTGTTACTAAAATGTTATCTTTCTAAATAATTGAAAATGCTCTCCTCATATATCACTAATGTGGAAGCCAGATTCTGGAATTCTGTTATGCTCTTACAAACCTGTAAGTTAAATAGACATTTTCTGTTGCTTTAAATTCCTCCTGAGTTGACAGTATGTCTACTGTAGCCATGGATATAATCACTGGTATTTAACACTATAGCTACCAAAATGTGTATATGCCAAACTGAATTAAAATAATGGAATTATAATCCTCTTTTCCAACCACCTGCTAATACTTCTCACTGGGCTTTTGTTGTTGTTGTTGGAAGTTTAAAATAAAATTTGTCAGAAGATAACATTGCTAATTAGTTTAAGCAGTAATGGATGAAAGCCAGAGGAGTTTAAAAGAATTTTGTTCTTGTGGTAAAAGTAGTTTTAGTACGGCTATGATAGCACTACCCTTTCAAGCTTTAGTCCCATCCATTCATTTTTTATCCACTGGTTCATCTTTTGAGTGTTGATAGCTATAAAAATAACACCCCACGCAACATTAAAATTAGTTTGAAATTGGTACTGTAACTTAGATTTTTGCTAACATTAGTATAATCTGGTGAGTTCCTTAATTTAATTTTAGTGTAGGCTGATATTACCTCTTCTTGGAGGAAACGATGCTTAAACAGGAAAAGATGCCAAAGTAAAGGTTTGGTCCTGCAAAATCACACAGAGAGGATATTTTTGTCACTACTGTGTATAAAGTAGTGGAAGGACTCATGTTAATAAAGCTATTTTATGTGAAGTAAACATTTTTATTTCTTAAGTGGGGTTTTATTAAATGGGATGATACTATGAAATGCAGGGAGAACAGTTAAGTGTTGACAGTATTATTTACTGGAGGAGGTTTTTTCATGCATTTGACATTGAGATGACTTGCATAATGTTAGAATAGTGTAGGAGAATTATTTCAGAAATGAAGACAGATTTAGATTCTTTTTACTGCCTTTTCCTTTCTCTTGTGAATGTATTTTGTTCTGTGCCTGCGTGTAACTTCACGTTCTGCTTGCTCTCTTATATTGCACTCTCTGCGGAAACTGTATGTTTTAAATTTCAGCTTAATCATTTGAATTGTGCTTGGTTTTAGTACAAAAACACAGCACTGAACATCTGTCCTACCATCGCATGTTCCAGAAAGTTATTTGGTTTTTGCCAAGCTACCTGAGATGCATCTTAACATGCATCTGCTCTGCGGAGCTTTCCCTGGATGGGGCTTCCTTCCTTTTGGAAGAGTGATGGCTTGGCAGGAAGACTCCAGTTTGGTTATTTCCATCGTTTCTGTAACTGAGCCACAGCTGAGGTGTTGAAACATTCCCCTCCTTGCTGGTAAAAAGACATGAGGCAGCAGGCTTGCCTTTTTTGTTTTTTTAATTAATGTGTGTCAGTGATGGTGTACAGTTGATATGCTGAGTATTTTTTGACTGGACAGAAAAGTCTGCCTCATTTCCTTTAGTTATGAGGAACCAGTGCCTTTCTTTCTTACACCACACACAAAACTGGACAGAACCTGAGGAGCTGACTGAGCTAATAGGGTAGGGATAGTTTTTAGAGGCTCGTGGGGAGGTTTGGAATAATCCTCAAGGACACTAGAGATGAGCCTATGGTAAGCAGAGCATCCCTGGGAATGTAGAGGTCAAGGGGGAGCTGGCTGGGGATGGTGAAAGAGGTGAGACTGGGATAAGACTGGTACTTGAAGGAGCAATAATGGAAAGAACTGAAGTTTTCACAGAGGGAGGGAGCTTCTGTTTGGGATTTGGGTAGAGGAGTGTGAGCTTGAAAGCAATCATTGGTGTCCCTGGCTTCTGAAGGAGCTGCTGAAGGTGGCCATTTAATTATGGGGTTGTTATGGATAAAGGGGACATTTCTGTTCCGTTTTTAGGAGGGGGGGAAACAGCACGGGACTGGGACAGGGAAATGAGAGCCTGGCACCGAGTGCCGTTGCTCAGCCGGTGCCGCGGGGCGGCCGCTGCCTGGGTGCGGGTAGCACTGCCTGTGGCATCGCCCGGCATTGCCCGCCTCGCCCTCAGCTGCTCCCTCTGCTGCCAGGAAGCACTGCTCCAGGGAAAACTGCTCTGCACTGATGAATAACCACAATAATTTGTCTCCTGCTAGATATAAGCTCTGAGTGTGCTTCTCTTAACTTACCAAGTAATACTGCTTGTGTCTTGACTCATGTTTTTCCATCAGAGAGATGTGAATGTCTAAGGGCTGCCATAAGGTCATACAGGAGCTCCCTGATAGCTGTCTTGGCAGCGAGGCTGATGGAAGAGTGAGAGAGTAAGGCAAGGTTTAAGGCTTTGAGAAATCCCTTGTTAGGCGATGTGGGGAATCTAATCTATTCATACGTGTAAGTAGGAAGCATACATTTTTGACAAGCTAACAAAAAAATGCAGACTAGCTCAACATTAATTGCACTTTGGAGTATCTTAAAACTAGCTGTGAACCACAGAATAATGAATACTGAATGAAGACACAAAGTTAGCTTGCTGACGCTCAAATTTTAACTTACATTTATAGCATTTTCTGTGTTCTGGATGGATGTGTCAGGGAATAGGCTTTATCTTTAAATCTTTCACCTCTTAGTAAGAGAATCCAGAAGTCCAGAAGTGTGGAGTGGTAGTCACAGATTTTAAATGTGACCTGGAAATTAGATATTGCAACTTAATCTATCATACTGATTTAGCCCATTTTCTATTTTATCGTTAAAGAAAAAGCAGTATGTTTGTCTCTGTTGCACCAGGTACACAGCAAAACTCTTGTGTAGGCTCTTTAACAAATAAAGTTATGATTAAAACCAGTTTTAGTTATTTTTAGGGTCAGCGTTCTACTTGACACGTTTCTCAAAAATATTTGTCGCAAAGAGATGTGCTTTAGTAAGTGCCACTGTAAAGCTTGCTCCCTTTTTTGTTAGCACGGTGAAGAGAACCAGTTCAGCCGAGCGTGTGTCCCCGGGCGGCCGGAGGGAAAGCTATGGAGATTCCAAAGGGAGTCGCAACCGCACTGGATCCACCAGCAGTTCCTCTAGTGGTAAAAAGAACAGTGAAAGGTAATGTTATTCACCTGCCTGTCTCCTTTCTCAGCCTACTGCCCTAGTAATGAAATCAGCTTCTTCAGAGAAATTAGTTTATTTCAGCAAATATTGGGAGATTTTTAAAAAACAAGACAAAACAAAAAACCAAACCAAAACAAAAAAACACTCCAATGGTTGGACAAAAATATATTTAAAAACATTTAAAATAAAACGGGTTTTCAAATTTAGATGAAATTTATTTGCTTTATTTCCAAACCATAAACAATATGAGAACCTTGAGATGACTGGAAAAGTTCTTAATTATTAAACATGCTTCTTCCATTATCTTAGTGGTTTCCCTTGTCCAAGTTCCTTGAACTTCCTTCCAATATAGAAGTGGAGGGAGAGGCTTACACAAAAGTGCGGTCTAAAGAAGCAGAGTAAAGTGATGCCTATCTCTGTGTATGTCTGATGGTGTTTCTCAGGCAGTCCAAAGAAAAGAGTGTGTTTTGTCCAAGACTTTCAGGCTTAAGATGGTCTTGAACAGATAGCTGATTCATTGAGATTTGTCAGTGTTGTCTGTGTTGGTCAAATGGTTCTTTCCTGTATTTCCTAGGCAGATTTTAGTCTTGGCCATTCCACTTGACCAGTCCTCTTCCAGTTTCCTATGCAAAAAGTGGTGTTGATGGTGCTGTTTCATTATGTCACAGATGGTGCGACCATAGAAACAATGTTAATGAAGATCACAGAGTAACCTGATTTACCACCTGTGTTTGGGTGCTAGTGCCATGATAGGAGTCCTTGGGCTGCTTGTGAGCCAATGGTGTGGCACAAAACAACCCTTCCTTTTTGTCCTTAGAGCATCTTCACTTGATGTAAGGGGTGACTGAGGTTGTTGTGTACTAATGGACACAATGGACGCTAATAGTTGATCGTGTTATTAATAATTTGTTTTCGGACACATTTTCAGCTATGAGGCAAGACAGCAAGCATGTAAAGTTTACAAAACTTGTGAAAGTCTTAGAATATTATGGGAATAATTCAAAAATTAAGAGTACCATAGGTACAAGGGTATAAAATTGTAACCAAGGAGAAGAATTGTAACCATGCATGTGAATAAGGTATTTATAACCCAACAGATATGTGCAGGACTGGGCCTTCTGGTACTTAAAGAAATTTGACTTTATCTCAGCATATGATTTTTTTCTTTTTCTTAACTTCGTGGTAAAATAATTGTAAACAACTGATAACTACATAGATGTGGGTTTGGTTTTGTTTATAAGCTTTTTGTACTTTAAAATTCCTAAAATACTGAGTATAACTGGAAAAATAAAACACAGTAGCAATTAAAATTTATGTCATCCATAAATAAATACTACTTCTGAGAGGAAAATCAATCTTTTGTTGGATTACTTAGGAGCCATGTCTCTCTCTTTCTGCATGTGCAGACTTGGACAAAGTTGTTACTAAACATCTGAGGCCCTTCTAGCACAGAGAATGTGTACCTTGATACATCTGATAAAATAATGCTGAAGCAGCAAACCAAATATCAACACTCCTAGGAACAAGTGAGCCTGAAAATTTTTGCTTAGTTTTGCTTTCTAAAAAACTTAACCACCAGTGAAGGGGCTGCCAAGAAGATAAAAACTCGCTCTTATTTTAAACTGGAAATTCAGCAAAGTGTTGGAATAGTGCGTAACTTTATGCAGCTACATTGCCTCAGTGAAGTCATTGACAAAGAGTTGCTGTTTTCTTTATTGATCTCTTCAAGCTGATGGATTTTTCTAAGGCTTTACTTTTTATTTTGCGTGTGTAAATAATTTCCTTCTCTGTTGTATGTATCAAATTATAGCAACAACCTTTATGTTGTGACCTTAGTGATTTAAAAAAATCCATCTTATATAAACAAAACAAATTTCTTACAGAAACTTTTTGTTAAAAAATTAAGTTTCTTTAAATAGACAGGCAGATTTGCTTCTGGAATGTGAGCAGGAGTACTTCACCTATCAATGGTGAATGTCATCAGTTTTCCAACTTACTGCAATAATTCACTGTAGTTTTTTGAAAAGTTTTAACAAACATATGATGATCCTGCAGTGTCCTTTCTCTATGTATTTTATCTCATACATACAAAATCATTAGATCAAGTCCCCAGAGGGTGAATTCTCTGTGTTTTGTGCAGTGGAAAATATACTTGTCAAATCTAAATACAGTGCTCTGCAAAGTCCTTTTTTCATAGATATCCCCAAGTTCCTTCTACCTGCATAAGTTGATAAGTATCTGAAATTAGTTGCATGTTAAAGCTACTAAAGAAAGAAGGCAAGAATATTAACTAGGTTGTTAATTTAAATTAAAGAAAGAAAGATATGACTTCTAATATCTACACGGAAGTACTGTATGTTTGAAAAATGGATACCAAAATAGCTGAGAAATAAAAAATTTACAATATAATTAAAGTTTATCTGTATAGATTTTTTTTTTTTAAATTTCTGCTCTAAAGTTGATCATGATACTTCAGATGCGTTTTTAGTATTTTCATACTGCTGTAACAGAAACCAAGTGGTTATGTCATTCTGCAGTTGTAAGGCCACAAGGGGTTGAACAACGGCACTGATCCTAAGTCACTTACTTCAGACTCGGGGAGGAGATCCAGCACAAGTGATGCCACACTTGAATAATGTGCAAGTATCCCAAGGAATTAAATTGCTCCCAAGGAGCGTGTGTTAGATTGCCTCAGCTGGAGCTAGTGATGTTTGTGCCACTATGAGAACAATGATTGTGTGGTTAGAGAGTTTTCCCTGATTTCTGTCACATGCAGCCTGATGGCATTCAGCGCCACAGCTCTCACTGCCTTGGAGAGTGTCTTTATCCTGTGGGAGAGGCTGGCTACAGATGCTGAAAATGTAAAACCAGAGTCACAGGACTAGAAGGAAAACGAGTGTGATTCTGTATGCTGGAGGCTGAGGCTGTCCTAAAGCTAACTCTATGTGTGAAAGTGTGTGGAGGAGGGTGTCACTTAACCATCTAGTCACAGCCTTGTTATTTGTATCATTGATCCTTATGGGTCCCTTCCCACTTGAGGTATTCTGTGATACTATTCTATGATTCTGTGTCTTGTCTCTGGATGAAGCTTAAAGCAGGATGTGTGGCAGGAATCTAAAAAGGCAATTGTGAAATTATTGTTTGTCAAAGTCTATAGAGTTGTAGGCTGTTACGCAAAACCATAATGCTATAAAAAGCTATTTTAGGAAGCCTTAAGCATAAGGAGATGACCATAATCTCCCATGCTGCTCTGGGGTGTCCCCGCTCCCTGTGGCTCTGGGTCAGGGCTGAGCCTTCCTAAGGGTTAGGTAAGTAGGAAGTGACTCAAGTTCACAAAAAAAGAAAAAGGATAGTGAGAGGTCTGAGCTGTGTGTGTGGTTAGGGTTTGTATCATTAGAAAGTACACATGATTTGCTTTATTACTGTCATGAATCAGCCTCTCACATTAGCTTGATTAACTTGAATAAGTCAGCATGATCTGTTCAGAGCTAGGGACTCTTTTGTCTCTAACATGGCAGTATTTCTGACTACAGCTCCATCCCATAAAGTTTTTATTTTCTAAAAATATCTTCATTCATAAATATTAATCTTGGTGTTAACCATGGGAACATGTCATGCTGTTTATATAGATGGGATTGGCTGTGTATGTACGCCAGCCTGAAGCATGAATTTTGATGCATCTTTAATACTCAGCCTGATATTATGAAAAGTTGCTAAATCAATGGGTAGGATCAGTAGAACTCTTTTTAGGTTTGCTTTGACTTTATCACTAAGTAAATGTATTATTCCTAATATAACTGTCAAATCAAGCAGAAGGAAAAATACCGTAAAATTATTTTCTATCTTCTATTGTAGAGAGAATGTTTTATGCTTAGAAACAAACTGTTTGGAAAAATCCAACCCAATTGTTCAGTTTCTTTTTTTCATTTCTCTTTACCTGCCCACTACAGCCTAGGAGTGGATGTAGGGATGCCATCGCAGCTCTAGGGATACTCCATGCTTCAGCATTTCTCCATCAGAATGACAGGGCTTTCAACCCTTTTGGGATCACCCTAAGAAACCAACAGTAATCTGGTATTTCAAAAGTTTTACTGGATAGAAAGAAAGTAGAACTGGGAGAACAAATAACTGCATAATAGCATTTTCCATCCAAAGCAACACCCTCAAGCCTGATTGCACAAGGGCAAGGGGCAAAGAAAACAAGTGACTGGCATTTTTTGAAGAAGATTGCTTCTTTCTGTTCAGGGCAGTACTATCCAGAGAGCTCCTCTCTGAGGAGAGCAGCAGTGCAGTGAGAAAGAGAAGAAATTCTGATCATGATGGTTATGTGCTTTCGGGGTTTTACCAAGTACTGTCATTTGCCAAGAAACAATTGGGCAGCTCCATGTTTTATGTAAACTTTTTTGAAAAAAGGAGAAAAATCTGTAGGTTTGAGAATTGAATGTAAAACTTTTAATATCTGTCATCAAGAAGACACAATGTACACAGGTTTTAACTGTGTCTGCTTTAGGATGTACCTTGTAAATAGTGGAATTGAAAAAGTATTTTTACTTATATGTGCACACACAAATATCTTTTATGTTATATTTTTAATTTTATATTATATTGTTACCTTTATATGTGCAAACTGCATGTGCATGCTTTTTGAAACAAAAATTTCTTCATTATTTTCACAGCAAACCCAAGGAACCAATGTTCAGTGCAGGTAGGAACTTTTAAAATTTTTAAGCAGATAACAACTGTGATAACATAATAGAGCTGTGGTTTCTTTTTTTTAATGTGGATGCCTAGAAACTGGTATTCGGAATCTAAACGTGACACTTTTAGGCTGCTGCTGACATATTTTTAAAAAGTTGATCAGTTTGCTCTGGTTTTTAGTGGCCTAATAGGTTTATTTTACAGTTAGGATTCTCTGTAAGAAGACAAAGAAAAGAAAAAGGCCATGTCTTCTTACCCCCAATACGTCTTCCCTTTCAAAGCAGTATTAAAGTTTTGTTAGTTAAAGCATATGCCAAGTTCCTGCTATGGTGCTGTCATGTTAATCAGTCATAAAAGGGAGCCCTCAGCTACTGTTAAAGAATGCCACATCTGTCCCAATACCTTGTAATAAAATTTGTCAAACTGCAAATAGAAAAGATGTTTTGTTATTACAGCTTTGGAAGTCTATGAGTAATTTGAAAATCATTGCAAAATTATTTTGAAAGTGAAATGGTAAGTGCAAGTGAAAGCAAGCAGAGTTTGTACTTGTCAGTAGGCAGTTACAAACTTTGAACAACCTCGACAGAGATACGAAGCTTACTAGTATACATATAGCAGTTATGTTTGTTCTGAAAAATCAGGGAGAGCTAAAATAAAAGCTTTCTTTTAACAAAATAAGGAAGGGAAAAAACCTGTTGATTTATCAGATGTAGCATATTATTTTTGTGTAAAGTTCTGTGCCAGTAATCATACATTAAGTTGAAAAAGTAGAAAGTCTTTTGTTTACTGCACTGCTTGATCGGCATCCAACAAAGCTCTTAAGCCATACTTCCAGTTTGGTGTAATGAATTTTGAACTCAATAATAAACAAAACTAAGTAAGCACTTAAGTCTCTTGGGACAATACAATCATGGTTCATGTCCCTTTCATAAAAACTGCTGGTTTAGAAAAGCAAAACTTCTGATTTGCACAGAATATACTTGTGTAGCATTTCTCCTTCCCTTGCCCTATGTAAGCAAATAGGTTCAGAATATTGTTTCTTCTGACACTTTCCCCATATGTAAAGATCAGCAGTTGAAGAGATGTGGTGCTATTTTTACCCTTCTCACCTGGGCAAAAGTCCTACTGAAATGAATCATTTTTTCTAAGGAAGTTATACTTGGAGTTTTACTTACTTTAAGCATATAGCTGCATAATGGAGCTGAAGCTGGCGTTTTAATGACAGGAGAACTAAACAGAGCCCCTAGCTGGAGGAAAAGCATTTTGACTGTAATTACCCAATGTATAGCATGGAGAGTGGCTCAGTGTTTTGGCCAGGTTAGCCTCCAGCAGCGTATGTCTGGGCAGCCTGTAGAGCAGGTATTGAGTGAGTTTATTGTATTCAAACACATCTTTATGTAGCCCTTCTGTCTCTGTCTCTGTAATCACAAGGGAAGCGCCGTGTGACACACTGCAAAGGTAGGCTTCACTTCCAAAACCTCATAGCTCTCGAAGCAAAATGGTACTGGTGGGATAAAAGCAAAATATAAAACCAGCTATTTTCTAACTTGTCTGTATTTTGCAATGTTAAAACTTTCCTAGTTCTTTTGAATGAGAAAAATAAATAAATTATGGCATCCATTATACAATCTACTGAATTATAACCCTCAGTTGCACTTTAACAATAATGGGTTATAATTTAGGTTTGTGTGGACTCATTGTGAAGATTTTGAATTACAAAAAATATGTTGAGAGAGCTATATGGCAACACTTGGATGTTCACTGTATTTGAAATGGTGTTCTGCACTTCTGCTGAAATTCATATAGAATTTGCCCCTTTGTTGGCTGTTCCGCTGTTAGCCTAACATGATTATAGAAGCCTTGGTTTTCCCCTTGCTTTTTCTTACTTAGTAGACTGTAGATTTTTCTGAATGTTGAATAAAGAGATCTAGGCCTCTAACTGATTTCTCAGTGCATTTTGCTCAATGTCATAAAGCAGAGTTATATTTGGTAAAAATGCCATAAAGTTTTCTAAAGCTTCAGCTAAATTGTATTGTAAATATGCACATCTTTGATGCATGTTTATATCTGTGATATAATCACAGATTTGTCTTGCTTTTTAGAGATAGCCAAATCCTAACAGTTTTTCCACTAATCAGCATCTTTCAGCTTTGCAACAAATCTAAAATCTCAAAAAGCAAAGAATGTTTGTTCTCAAGGCAAAGTCTTTTAGACAGTTTACCTCTGTGTGTTCTTTGTACAATCTTATGCCTCCCATCAGTAGTGGTCTCCTTTGCAGACCCTAACTAGCATTCACGTGCCTTCTTGTTTCAGTTCAGCAACCGTTAATATTTGCAGTTATTTTTCAACAACAATTTCAAATTTACAACATTGCAGATGTAAAAGATACATTTGTCTTAAAGTTTCACCACTCGTCTGTCTTCGTAGTTTGGTGATTGTCTGTCTTTACATCTGTATCTTCACACTCAGAACTCTGCTGTCTTAAAAACTTAGAAAAGGGAGGTAGATTGGTTATGTACACAATGTTTGGATTACTAACAAAGATCAGTACAGATAGAAGTAATATTGCCAAAATTTAGAACTAAATGCACAGTATGGATTTCTGTGCCTGACCTAGTCATCCTCAGCTCTTCTTTACAGTTGAGAGAGAGGGAGGCATTCTGAAGGTATAATTTCTATATTCGCTGTGGCATACTTGGTATCATTTACTGTGCTGGCTTTTGGACATCTGCCTTAACATGTGATTTATTTGTCCAAAAGTACCTGTTTCTCACGAATTACTCTAAAAAGGAGTTTTAAGTGACTAGGTCAAATTACTTCCACTCTAGGTGGCCAAATGTAAAGTTTCAGGTGAGAAAGGCAATTCAGTGACTTACACTTTCATTCATTCCCAGCCTTTGATAAGCACAGTCGGTGATTGGCACTCCTGAAAATCTATTGACTCCCAGTGCAGCAGTGTCAGGAGTATTGGCATGTGTTTCCAGCTCATTAAATAGATGCTGCATGCGCATACAAATAGTGCTGTAATGCTCTGCTATGTGATGCTTTACCCTCTATAGTTTATTTTCCACTACAGAGCTGTTGGAGTAGATTTTTAAAAACAATTCCAGTATTCTAGCATCTGAATAGGCATCTTAAGCTCCAACCATCTGTCACCCTTATTTCACCATTATTATTGTTTCTTTTTAACATTCATTTTTCTGTTGTTTTCATTATATGTATGAATTCTGTAAATGAAGATAGAGAGCCCTTGCTGTAACTTTACTGTGACAGGACAGGTAGATTTATTTCCAAAATGGAATATTCTAAGGGCAAAATACATGTATACTTAGGTAATACAGCATAGCTATGATGTTTAATTGTTCGACCAATAATTTTTATTCATTTAGTCAGGATTTGTAGAGTATGCATATTTCCAATTAAAATAAAGCCTTAGTTTCAAATTGAAAAAATAATGGTATAGTTGTAGTGATACTTAACACTTCATAGCATAATTTTAACAGTCCTAAATTGTATCATTTTTTTTTTCATTTACATGATTTTGTTACTTCTGCCCTTCCATTTCCTCTGTGCCCACGATTATTCTGTCTAGTAACTCTACAGATGTCACTGACTCCAAAACTGCTTGATTCGCATGAGAACAAGGCTGAACTCCTTGATCTGCCGATGAAGCAGCAAGAGCCAGCACGTTCTGGATCTGGACAAACTTCATCAGAAGTTCACAGGACACCCACTTTGGCCTTGCCAGTTCCCAAAAGTCCTAGTCAGACCTTCATGGCATTTCCCAGATCTCCTAGTTTTATAAGCCCCATGAAGTCCCCAAGTCAGTACTTCCAGATCTGTTATTAATCCCTGCTTCTCTCCCCCAAAAATATCTCTTACCAGTTCAACACGTTACTTCTAGTATTTTCTTCTAGAAATGTTTACTTCTGTCAGGCAATTCAGTTTTTGTAGCTTCTCTCCTGTATGTCATTTTCCTTTCTTTTGATGTGCTGTCAATGTTGTCATTCCTTTTTCAATGTTTAGTAGTTCTTAAAGCACATTCTTTTCTGCATGTACATCAGCATGATTCCTTTTACTAATTGTTTGTGTTCCTTATTTCGAATGTATCTCTAACACTGTATCAAGTGTAAAGCATATCTTTACACTGAGATGCAAAGAATGCGACTGGGTGTTGGAAAATACTTTAGATGCTGATGCTCAACTGTAAATATTGATTAAAAAAATAAAATTAATTTTAAGTGGCCTTTCTGCGTTAATTGTAATCTTTGATGTTTTCCCCTTCATTTTTACTATTTAAAAAATGTAATATTGTGACATTATTTTTCACAAAAAAGTTTCAATTTCAGTCCTTTCGGTTTTGTAGTTCTTCATGACATTGTTCTAATTCTGCTGCTCAAAATATTTAGAGGAAAAAGGGACTTTGAATGTTTTTTTTTTTTAAATTTTGCTTACTGATTTTTATTTAGGAAAAAAACAAACCAAACAAACCTGCTTATTTTCTGTTTGAGATTGCACGTCAATCTGTAATTGTAACACACCAGACTGTTAAGTGGGAAGGGATGGAGGAGCACTGGAGTTCTCCGCTGATGTGTGTTTTTGTGTAACGTGAAACATTTCTGACCTTTTGTAGAGGAAGGATACGTAAAAATGTTTCTTCGTGGACGTCCTGTTACCATGTACATGCCCAAAGAGCAAGTGGAATCTTACAATTTGGAAGCAAAAGTAGAACTACCAGCCAAGAGGCTTAAACTGGAATGGGTGTATCCTTTCTGTGCTAGAGGACTACTGGAAATCAATAATTTCTTAATGACTTTTTAAATAATTTTTTGAGGTAAAGTATGGCAAAATTAAGATCCTAGGGTTCATTTCATTAGTGAAGCAACATTCCACTGGTACAGGTGTTAGTTTTTTGAGGCTGTTGTTCTGCATCTTGTGAAGTATAGGGTGGCAGCCTAAGAAAGCTTTTGCTTAAATGTTGCTTGAAGGTTAAGTTTGAAGCATGGTAATTAGCTAAAGATTAAACTAGGCATATTGCAAGTATGTAGTGAGCTGTGATTATTAATTATAGAACTCACAAAACAAGCTCAGGGTTTTTTTTTTTTGCTGGTTATCAGCGGTAATTTATCATTTTAATCTGTGTTTTAAAAAATGTGTATCATTGTCCTTTAGAGGATGCTCTCATCAACTTCAGTACTGGCACAAGCCCTGAACTGAATAGTGCTTTGCAAGTGATAGGTGCTTAGCAATAAAATTCTTAATGCATCACATATAATGTTTGAATTTAGATTTTAAGCCGCTTAAGCACCATAAATGTTGACCAGGGCTTTCCACTGACTTCTGTGAGTGAACGTAATTACAGAATTCTAACTTGGAGGAGATCAGTGTTTCATTACATATAGAAATTTTCACTTTTCACTTTTAAATATAATGAAAAAATGTATTCTTTATTGAAAAAAAGAAGTGACATTTCAGTTTATATAATCTTAGCATTTATAATAGATGATTCAAGATAAAAGATAGACACAAGATCAATCTGTAATATCCACTGTCTTTAGAGAGGTGAAGTCTTCATAAGGTTTTCTATTTTAAGAAAAAGCATTTTTTTGGTCCCATCCAATGCAAATAGGAAGTTGCTTTGTCTTCCTAAAAAAAGAATACAGGCTGCATATAAGTCTTTTTCAGAGTTGTATAAATAGAACTGCATGTGGTTTCAGAATGCACACAGAGAGTTTCCAAAAGTCCCATTGTATTCACAAGAGATTAATGACAGATTTAGTAACCATTCTTATTATTCCTATTGCAGCTAAGCTTGTGGGTTCTACCCCTCTCTGCTGGAATTGCATCGATAATGCATACAGAAATAAGATGAGTTAAAAACAAAATATCCACAAAATGCATAAAGGCTGAGGTTAGAGTGATAAACACTGCTTGCAGTGTTTTGCCATCCAATTGTTGTACAGCCTCTCACCACATATCACAGCAGAGCTGAATGATGTCTTGTTATGCTTGTAAGATGTCCCTTGCTTAGGGGGCCTAAGGAGGACACAGGAGACACTTGCTGAAAGAACAAACGACCAACCACAAAACAAACCAGATTGTCATTAGCAGTGTGTAGGTGGAAGCTGAAGTTTGTATTTCAGACTACCCTAAGAAATGGTAGAGTAGGTAATGATGTCACTCTCATTAATTTCTCACTTAAGCTTACGTAAATGGCTGAATATTTGCCAGATGAATTTTTATTTTTAGTTTAAATATTCTTATGTCCTTCCAGATGTGTGTCTCTTTACCTAGCAGAATTCCATGTATAAATGTTGTCTGTAGACAAAGAAGCAAACAAATAAAATGATCTGGCTCACCCTAGATGGTTTCAGAGGGAGGCTGCATATTTTTCCAAAAATACAGTGCTAAGTTTTTCAGATTTTAATTTCTTTGCAGTTAAACCAAATCACATCCATACTTAAAGGTTACACTGATTACTAGATAGATGAAAGAATTTTTAAGGGGGGAAAAAAAAAGATAATGCCCAATATACCAACTATAGTGTAAAATAATTTAATGAGAAAGATGAAGACAGCAGAAAAACAACCAGTATTGCAGGCATTCATTCCAGTTAAGCTGGAAAAGCTGAGCTGTTTGTTTGGAGAGTAACAGAACTTGGAATAGGAGAAAACCTCTTTGTAGTGGACAGATCCAGCCTGGTTGTGGGATCACAGCCAGAAATGCTTTATAATGTAAGAATGGGGGTAGTGAAACAAGATATCAGAGGTGAAATGGACTAATGGAAAGGGCAAAATAGACAATGATGAGAAACAGAAGGAAGAAATTCTAATGTGTGGAGATTTCGGGGCAGATTTCGGGGCATACCTGAATCATAAAGGGGTTTTACAGTCATGTTAGCAGGTATCTGGGTAAGCCTAAAAAGGTTTGGACCACATCAGATGTATTCTGACATGAAGGTGCAGAGATTCTCAGTGATGCAGAGTGAGGGAAAGTTCGAACAGAGGTGGTAAATTGGGTGAGAAATTGGCACTGGGGACGTCAGGGCAGGAGTGGTGGTCTGCACAGATCCGTCTGAGACCGGCTCGCTTGGCAAGCAGGTTTGAAACAAAAGCTGCAGGCCAAAGGAAAAGGTCAAGATAACATTCCCTGTAGTGCCAACTTACCAAATCCAAGTTGCAGCCACTGAATCAGAGTGTGGGAAACAGTGAGGAGAAGGAGAGATCAGCCCCAGGAGTTTACATCTGAGAAAAAAGGCTGATAGAAAGAAACAGTGTTTGACAACAGCAATCATGCAAAGGGTTGAATGCAGCATTGTTCCCCACAGAAACAATTGTAAAGAAAGGAGATTTTCCCTAAAGAATGTAATCTTTCACATTTAATGCAATCTTTTCCATTTAATAGCTATTCTTATGCACTGAGATTTGTTCCTTATGAATGTCTGTATAACACTTTTACTTCACTTTTTTTTGAAAGTTCAGTTCCTTAGGCTGATTTCAACTGCTATTTCATTATAAACCTAATTGTGTCATGTTGTTGAACTAGGGAAATTTTATGTTGTTTTCAGTTGATAATGATATCTAGCCTTACAGAGAAAAATAAATTTAAACAAATAAGGCATTCTTGAGCAATTTAGGGTAGTAACTCTAATCTTTACAGACAGATTCAAAACTGATAGCAAATACATTCTATTTTGAAGATATTGGTTGTTTTCATGTCTTAAAGTTTTAATATCTCAAAACTTGAAGGAATTTTGGCCAAAATATTTCAGTTTGGGAGTCCAAAAGCTGTGGTTTTGAATGCACGTTTTGATGGTTGGATATGCACCACTATGTCTAATGCATTCAGTAGAAAATAACAGGTTGTTACTTCTAAAATAGGGATTTAAATAAGATAACTATCATCCTTACTTATCATTCCTTACTTCTTGGATAATATTAACATGATTTTATTAGTTTGACTGGGTTGTCATTGACCACAGAGAATACTGCACGAGTATCTTTTTAATATCATATATTTGGGGTTTCAGTACCTCTCCATATACTTATCACAGCCAGTTTCTCCGTATTGACCAGATTAGAATGCAATTCTGTTTTGCCATGATTTTGCTCATGTTGTTTCTCTGTTTCCATAGAAAAGGAAAGCCAAAATACTTGTAATCCCTAATGACTTCAGAAGAATAAAACGGCATAATTTGGCTGAATTAACATTCAGTCTAAATGAGATTATTTTTGTATTAATACCACTTATTTGATTGGATTAATTTTAGTGTTGATATGACTGCCATCAGAATCTGGGCCACTGCCTTTTCAATACTACAAAAATAAATTGGAATGGGTGATGTAACCCTTTTACTGTTTCATATCCATCTGGCTGGTAATGCCCAGAATAATGAAATCAATCAACCTGCACAAAGGGTAATGCAATCAATCCTAATTTAATGCAGGGAGATGTACTGAATGACTTATTAGTGTTTCCATCAAGTTTAAATTTTAATTTTAATTAGTCAACCAGTGTAAATAGTAAATACACTTGGGACAAAATTAATATTGCTTTAGTCCAGCATTTGGCAAATTCCAGAGGATACTAAAGGGATAGTATGTCACAAAATCCTGTCTCTTTTACCACTTGTTTTCTGTAGGATGTGTAGGTTTTCGATTAGTCTGTGAAATGCTTTAGCTCTCTTTAGCAAGGGAGGGAGTTCTGAAGGCTGCTAAGAGCTCAAGCCAAGAGGTGACTGCAGGAAATACAGGGGCAGAGAATCTGTTTTGGTTTTCCTTATTTTTAACGTTCTCCATTGGTAGATAATGTTGTTGCAGCTTGACCAACACACTAGCTATGGCTATAGGGGCCGGGACTGTCGCAGTAATCTCTATCTTCTTCCAACGGGCGAGACCGTGTATTTCATTGCCTCGGTAGTTGTGTTGTTCAATGTTGAGGAGCAGCTCCAGAGACATTACACTGGTCATAATGATGATGTGAAGTGGTAAGTCCGCTAAGCACCAGTATTTTTGCTTCATAAAACAGTATGTGGAAGGTAATGTTTTTTTCTTTTAATACAGAATTTAACTTCTAATCCTTGTATAGTTTGTGTCCTTACACCTGAGAGTGCATTTGCACAATCAAATGGCCGTAGTCACGGTAAGGATGTTAAATGTCTGTTATAGCTCTGTCTAGTCAGCACATGAAGCAACTGCAGTCAGGGTGTGATGGCACAGAGCTGAGGATATCCAAATATGTTCCTAGCAGAGCCTGAGCTTGCTTGTGAAAGCTGCCTCGAAGCCTGTGCTGCCGTATGCGCTGCGCTCCCTCATGTGGATGTGTCTATACACAGTTGCTGTATTGATGTTCTCCAGGTTACTGCTTGGTTCTCTCTCTCAGTTGCTAACAATTCCTCCTCGTATTTACTTGAGAAATATGTTTTCCATAACGAGTAGACTTTTTACATTGAGAATACAGAAAGGTAGAAATCTGACTTAATTTATAGATCTACTCATTTTCATTTCTCTGTTTTTAGGACGATTTGACATTAACTCCTTTCGACTGCTCTCCTATCCTTTTTTACATTAGGATTGAATTACACATCTTCACCTGGGTCTGGGTGCCATATACAGGCCCTTTAGACTCTATCTAACCAACAAAACAGTTTTAATCTCATCTGCAGTCTTGCTGATAGTCTTCAGGCACGTCTACATCATGGCAGATATCCTGCAAACTAGTCCTGAGCAGCCTGGCTTGTCTGCTGCCCTGCGGGCTTGTCATCTTGAGCTTCAAAGTGGTTTAGCTGTGTTCAAGCTTAGAGGAGACTAGGTATCAGGAAATACCAATATTGTTAAACTGAAAACTAAATAAACATACGGTTTGTCTTGCTGGTATCTGTCTCCTTGCTGAGCGTAGCTGAAAAAGACCACTTGGTTATCTGATGGACCTTAATGTATGAAATGAGTTTGACATCCCTTCTTTAGATTAAGCACTATGAAACACCTGTTGTCCCTCAAAGCCATAAATAGACCTGATAATCAAATCTAGTTGCACCACGAGCATGTTTCATAAAATTGAATTACTTGTTTGTTTTACAAGAAGATTTTTAACTTGGACCTGTTCCAGATCATTTCTTTCTTTCAAATCTTCTGACTCTAAATATTTAGAAGCTTTCAGGTTTATTAGAAAGGGTACACCTTTCTGCATTATAAAGATGATTCTTTTGTCAGTTCTGGCTTTATATTTTTAAAAAATATATATGTATGCTATGTGTCTTATATGACTATAATAAGGTTATTTATTACAGGCTTAAGTAAAAGTTTGATGAAGTAGGCAATAAATGGCTTTAAGTTTGGCCTCTCTTTCTTTTCTTTAGCCTGGCTGTCCATCCTGATAGGATCACGATAGCAACAGGTCAAGTGGCAGGGACATCCAAAGATGGAAAAGTGAGTGACCCCTTTGCCAACATACAATTGCTTGTACTTCACAAGAATATGCTATCAGGAAGATACGTGCTGTATTCTTTTCATGTTGCAGTTAAACTGTTTTTACATTTTAGGACTGAACACAAGCAAAACTTAATTTGAGCATGCCTATTTCACACTGTGAAATTTCTCCCATTCCGTTATCAAGATCAGTCTGTTGTTTCTGGTTCCATTACTTACACAGACTAAAGGTAAATTTGGAGCTGTGTGTCCAAAAGAAATTGGGAAGGATGAAACTACAAAAGAGACCTGAGTGGGCAGATGGATGTGGAGAAAAGGAGGAGAAACAGTGAAGATTGAAGTGTACACTATACAGCTTCATTTTGGACCACAGCTACCAAAACCAAAGTAGAAATAAGAATGGCTTTGAGTTGTTTGCTGAAAAAATTCTTACCCTTGCCATCATCTAGGCAAAAATATTAAGTCTCTCTTAGTGCCTGTGTTATCATAAAGCTTAGCTGTAGGCTAGGAATTTATTTGAATAGAGTCAAGGTGAACATTGCTCCAAAGAGCTAAGACAAGTGGGAAAGAACAGGTACAAGCAGAGGGAAGAAAAGCATGAGGAAGAAGTCAACTCAGTAGAGAATGCAGCTGATGTCACAAACAAACTAGAGCAAAAATTTTGGTAGATGTCAAAGAACAATTTTAGGATAAAAACAGATTATCAATATGCTAACTACTACAAGTAAATGAGGAAATCATATTCCTGGTTAGGCAACACAAGGTGTATTAGCCGAGTAACAAGCTATTAGTTTCTATCGTGTGTTGGAGAAATCTCTGGTATTTATTTTTTTAACTTCAGAAATACATTTTCTTACCATTGTATTTATGAAGTAAAACCTAATGGTCCAACGTCCTCGCTAGAGGGGGAAATGTTAGATGGGTAAGGTTAAATAAAAAAAACATTCATAGAACCGAGGCGCTAGGGTAGGGGTAGCCTTTAGTTCTTATATATTTATGTTAAAGGGAAATTTCACTACTTATGAGCAAGAAAGGTGTCCTTTTTATTTTCTCCCTGAGTGCTGCCGCCGTCAGCCAGGTTGGTGCGAGGAGGCGGGCGGAGGGCGCCAAAACAAACGGCCGTCCCGCGGCGCCCCCTAGCGGCGCGCGGCAGCCTTGTCTGGTGCCCCTCAGCCCCCCGGGGCTCCCTGGGTGCGGCAGCCAAGGGACACGCACACACACCCCTTGACTCTTATAGACCGAAGGGGGGTTAGCCATTTTTATTTAGTTAATTGCATTTTAGAAATTAATCTTTTTTGCACTGCTCGTTGGTGTTGACCAGAATTAGCTCAGTTGTTATGGTTTGAACTGATGGTTTTGGACCTGTCAGCAGGTCCCATGTTGCAGGGTCATCACCACTTTCACTTACTGAAGGATTTCTCCACAAACTAGCTGAGATCAGCGAGACCTGACGTGCCGTAAACTCTGGGGTCTCTGTTCCAGGTATTGCTCCTAGGCACAGCAATCAGCACGTCATTTGGAGCATATCCGTACAGCTACTCTAGGGACTTTATGATAATTTTCATACCTTAAATTGTATTAAAATGGGGTTTGGATGCATTCTCATCTTCTGAATACTGATTTTTATTTTTACTTTTGTCACCTTTGCTTCAGCTATTATTTCTTTGTCTGTTTTATAGCAATTGCCACCACACGTCCGTGTCTGGGATTCTGTGACTCTGAACACACTACATGTCATTGGAATGGGTTTTTTTGACAGAGCTGTTACTTGCATTGCTTTTTCCAAATCTGTAAGTAAAATAAATGAATGGACATATTAATAATGTTTGCTGAACATGTCTGCAAAGTCTTTCAGAATTAACTTCCTTGACCAAAACAAACTTCCGAGCTGTCTTTTCTCTCAGCTTTAGAGGATGAAACCTTGCAACCCAGTGCTTCCTAACAGTTTATATTGCCATTAAAGCAATGTTTCATCAGTCTCAGAGATCTACCTTATGCTTACCATAAAATGCAATTAATTTATTCAAGGACAAGCAGTTGCAGAAGTACTTACATTCTAGAAATTTCAGTATCTTTGCTGCTTGTCTTTAATTATCCCGTTGGGTTTCTCCCCACGTAAGAAAGTCACTCTCTCCGCATCTTTTAACCTCCTTATTGTGCCTACGAATGACTGGTGAAAGGCTTTTACTACGGTCTGTGCTGCTGATTTTGGATTTTAAAATCGGGAGCTCCCATAGGAGAGGCAAAATCTTTGCCTGAAAGCGGCAAAGGCATATGGATAAAGGATTATAAAGAATTAAAATCCTGCTGTTAGCCTCTTGGCACCATCCTTTGAACTCTGTTCTGTTCGGAAGGTTAAAACAGATAACACAGGCAGCTTTCAAGTCCCATATGAAAACATGAGCCTGTAGACTGACACGTGCAAGTCTGGAAATGCTCCATGTAGAATAGAATCCATGAGCAGTGTATATCTTGGTGTCTGGTTTTCTTAACAGTGTTTTTAAAAAGGAGAGGTCTAAATGGTGTATTCCCTAGGCAAAATACACTTCAGTTAAAGTTTCCACAAACATTTGAAATCTGTTGATGACTATTTTATAGAAAGTAGAAAAAAAAGAGGAATAAATTTGGGGAGCTGGATAAGAATACAAAGCAGAAAACCAATGCAGTTCAGGATCAGCTTTGAAGAATAAATAAAGAAGAACACCAAGTAAATACTCTGTCGATATGTCCCTGGAGGAAGGAGTAGGTGCTTAACAACAGAGGATAGCTAGTGGCAGATGCCAGGACAAAGCGCGTGTTTAATGTTTGCTTTATGCCGTGATTTCCCATTCAAAGCTTGGCCTGTTTTAACCATCACTTCCCATCCCATAGCAGTGCTGCTTATCTCATTTTAGACAGCTCTCTCTTCAGGCTACTCAGTCCTGTCTCCGTCCCACCTCCTGAGTAGCCTTGGCACAATTATTTTTGTAGCTTTGTTTGAGATCTGTTAGGGGCCCTGATTCATCAGGGAAACAACCAAGCAACCTGATATATAAACAAAATGAAGCAGACTTTTCTTGGGCCTTCTTTCCCCCCTAAAATTGATCTGTTCCTCAAACAGGTGCACTTTGTGGTAGCCTAAACTTTTGCGGTGGCTGAGCTCAAGTGGCACAACAAGTGGCGGTGCTGTGGGTGGCAGAGGAAGGACTGTGTGTCAGCATTGCTGCCAAGGGAGTGCTTTGGTCTGTTTCAGCAAGCTCATCTGCAGTCAAAGCTAACATAGCTGATGCCAGGAGCAAAAACCGTATTTCAATGAGTTAGAAAGCAATTAGCTATTATTTGATGGTTTATTCCACTGTAGACACTCAGCTAGGAATGAACACCAAAGAAATTAGGAAAATTATCCAAAACATATCTTCTGATAGCTACTGGTTGAAATAGATCTGATGATTGTATAGCATTTCCCCTCAGTAGTGTGATCACTGTCAATCAGCTCCCCTCAGTTCAGGTAGGGTCTTGGTTGGAATTCCTCATCCAGTTTTTGGATTCCCATGTCAGAAAAATGGCTACCAACTGGAGAAGGTCAAGGAAATATGATGCATGAAGAAAAACTAAAGGAATTGGTAAAATTGTTCCCCATGTTCATAGCAGATCGGAGAAGAAGTAATTGGCTTAAATTGCAAAGAAAGAAACTCAGTATAATTACCAGGAAAATCTTTCTTAATAGAAAATGATGTGTACTTTGCCTTTGGAAATTCCATCATTGAATGTTTGGAAAGAGATAGCTGCCCCGTTCCTGACAATCTGTTTGTCTGCAGTTTGCAAGGCTTCCTCTTCTAGATCCCTTTTTAACACTGTTTTTCAATGACCCTATAAATTATCCTGTTTCATGGAGATCTGTGGGATAATAAAAGTATAATGGTTAAGTGTAAATATGCGTAATTTTTTTCACCTACACAGAAATATTTAATTATTCTGATTGTGTATTTATGTGGGGTTTTTTTTGTTGGTTGGGCATAATATTTGATATTTTCCATGTTTTGCCTTAGAATGGAGGAAGTAGCCTGTGCTCCGTGGATGACTCAAACGATCATGTGCTTTCTGTGTGGGACTGGCAGAAAGAAGAAAAACTGGCAGATGTCAAGGTGTTGCAATAAGATATTTTGTACTTCTTGCTTGCATGTAGATCTGGATTTGTTGTCATAAAACATCTTTCTATATTTAACTTCTTGTGCCTTTTTAACACTTTCATATTATAAAGGGCAAAGAACATGACAAAACAGAATATTTTCTCTGTTGAGATTTTCCCAATAGTTTGGGTTTGAAAAAATTTTGCTATTGTTGTCATTCTAGAGTTGATTAGAAAAGTCTAGGCCACAGTGATAGGAGCATGTGCAGAAATGAAATATTTCAACTAATCTTTTGTGTTAAACTTGTCATTATTTTGAAGGAAAAATCTGCTACTAACTTATGAAAACATAAAATCTTTTCACTTCAAAGTACCAAAGTCTTTCAGACTACATTAATAAATGAATGTCTCAGATCTTTTTGTATACCAGGAGTAACAGTTTATCTAAGTATAGAACGATTTAGTACTGTTTTGTTTTCTTTGCATTTTAAATTTTGATACAATGTTTTTCTTTTTCTTTCCAAGTGCTCTAATGAGGCTGTATTTGCTGCAGATTTCCACCCTACTGATACAAATATAATAGTTACTTGTGGAAAATCCCACCTTTACTTTTGGACACTAGAAGGGAATTCCCTTATTAAAAAGCAAGGATTATTTGAGGTAAAAGAAAATATTTCCTTAATTTTATGTTTATGGTAATGGTACAGTCCTACAGTAAGGGTAATAAGATTTCAGTACATCAAAACATCTGATCATCATTAAACTCAAAATTTTTCAGAAACTCAGGTGACATTCATGGTATGGCACAGAGAAACCCCTCCATGATTAAAACTTCCACAGCGAAGTTTTAAAATGCAATTACCATTTTCTTCCTTGCATTCTTTTTCCTACCTCCTTCATGCTATGCTCCTCCTACCCTGCAAAGTAAAATCTGCTTTTCTGCTGAGGTTTTTTTATATTGTGTTGTCAGTTAAAAGACTTGCAAAACCCCATAAATTATATTAATATGAATATTCTTCCCTTTTCCTCTATTCTGCTCAGATACATACACATATGTAATGCAAACACAGATTGAGGTGGCCACTATTTGGTAAATATAATTTTCATTTCAAGGTCTTGATTTGGTTTTCTTCTTAAGTGTAGCCTAATCTCTGTAGCAGTCACACGCACAAACGCAGGATGCTTGCCGTGACTGTAGATACCTAGTTAACTGCCTGTGGAGTCATGGCTCACCGATACAGTCAAAACAACTATTTTGCCATGTCAATTAATATACTTTATGTGAAATCAGGAGATGCTGAGAAAATGCATTTAAATTTTGTTACATTTAATTTTTCATTCATTTTTATCTCCAAAGCTACTTGGGCAGATTTCTGCCTTTGTTACGGCTCTGTTATTTCCTGTGGTGGCACTAGTTGAGAACAGCTCTTACTTTGAGGGGGAAAGAAGCCACATACTGGTAGTCAACAGACATTGTGAATAAAGTCTTTAGAAGCTACTACCTAGTGAATTTTTTTGTCCCCTTATACATTTCACTGTTTTGTTGCTGTCAGTTTCTTAAATGGTCTCAAAGCAATGTTTCCATTGCTTCACCTTAGGATTCTTTCAAGAGGTGATTTCTTGATTCTTGCACTACATCCAAACTCTCCAGTAATATTTTTCTCCTAGCAACTTTGGAGTTAAAAATTATAGTAATAAAGCTTGTTTGCATCTTTGACCATTTCTGAATACTTAAAACCTTTGAGATTGTGCAGGAATTGTGGGGTTTGGTTTATCTCGGGGCATTCCTACTTGTGTTCATAGTTGGCAGGTCTTCTCACTCATTCTATCCACAACCTGTAATTAAAGCGTGCAGGACTGGGCCACCAACCTCAGCTGACGCATCTTTTGCCCTTGCACAGATTAACTGTTTAGACTGTAGGAATGTTTTTAACTTTGGTGTAGATAATTAAGTAATAATAGAGCTGTATAAGACTAAACTAAATTACTCATACACATAGAGTTAAAATGAATGGGTTGTGTGTTGCTGTGAGTGTATATTTTTCATAACCATGCAGAAACAAGAGAAGCCAAAGTTTGTCCTGTGTGTGACCTTTTCTGAAAATGGTGATACTATTACAGGAGACTCAAGTGGAAACATTTTGGTTTGGGGAAAAGGTAAGACAAGATTGAAGTTAATAGTGAAATTTTAATATAAAAGACTGAATTTTTGCATGAGTGTAGCCTCGTTTTAAGAAGAATAAAGTTTATCTTGAATTCTTTCCCAAGACCAGTCCAGCAGATTATGTCTGGATTTATGTCTATGAGCACCTAAAGAACGTACATGCCTGACTGCTCCAGGAGCAAATTTTATAGAACGTGTTCCCTATGGTCAAATGTGGAATTGTAAAGCTGTGCCAACATGTATGGCTTTTACTGACCTAAAAAATGGCAGAAAATGTTCTCTTCCTTAATCAAAGTGATACTAAGAAACACTGCTAATTTAATTGATGATCTCCAGTCTCCTATACTGCCACTCTGTAGTGTTTGCAAAAATTACACCTGTGGACATAAACTTTTAAATAGACGACAAATAGCTTTATTTGTTTTCCTAGGAAGTCAAGCTAAAATCAATGCAGATCTAATTGAACTCCTCAGCTTTATTTCAAAAGAACAGATGGGTAGATCAAACTTCTGAAAAAGCATTTTCTAGTAAGAAAAGACCTTTTTTTTTGTTAGGCAGCAGAGGGCAATGCCTGCCGGAAGGCAATCAGCACCAACATCCTAAACGTTTACTTAGTGAGTGAGGTGTCATGCATAGGAATGAGGAGAATCCCCTGAAGGAGGCCTTATTAGTAAAGGAAGAAGGGATGTGGATGACAGCTGCTGCTTATTTACTCAGTGTCTTCTCCCAAGACACTCAAAAGGATATAAGACCTGGGAAGCAGCATGATGAATCAGTTGCAGAGCTGGACCTTACTGAGCTGGCTTTGTAGACTTTTTTTCATCCAAGGACTATAAGCTAATTGCCTCCTTGTGCTTTTGACCAATACACTACTGCTGAGGAAATGGCTGGATGTGGTGTTTAAAAGCTCCTCTTGACTTTCACTTTTCTTCTTCCTGTGATAGTTTAAAGCAAGACACTTGAACACTTTTCCTACCAAACAGAGTTTAGAAATTGCATAGTCTCATCTCCTCCCTGTTCTTGGTTGTTATTTTGGGCTGCCAACAGACAAGGGAGACAGTGGCAGCTGCTGGCACGGCAGGGTCAGTGCACTACTCAGGGGCTGGTTTGCCTTCACCCCAGCAGACTACTTTCTGCCTTGACTGCAAGGAGCCTCTTCTGCCCTTTCTACCAGGAATGAAAGTGAATTCTTTGTGCTACAAGATCTCCTCACCTCTGCCATTTCTTTTGGATTGGACAAAAATGTTGTTTTTCTATCTTAATACAGCATATTTTCTATGCCTACACTACTTTTGACTCGGAGCTCTCTTCTCAAGTGAGGGCTGCTTCCACCGGGTCAGAATACTCTTAGAAAAAACTCTTAACAGAGTTCATTTGTAACTGACACATTATATCCATAGACATGGGTAGAAGCAGATGGGATTTATGAAAGAAAAAGCATTTGTTTCTTCCTGACTCGCACCAGCCCCTTGCTTGTGCTAAACGTAAAGCTAGCCAAGCTTTGATTCAAGGTGCACGTTTCAGTAATAGAATCACTGGGGATTGTTTCTTTATACTTCATAATGGTATGGGTTTATCAAATTAGAGATATCTAAGCTAATGTAGTTGATTTGAAGGTGGTTTGAGTCTAAGAAGATACTTGAACAAGCCAAATTCATCGGTAAAGTGCAGGCTCTTTCAAAAAGCAATTCAGCACCTTCTGCCAGGCGTACAAAGACCTTTATCTCAATTGGGGTTTGGTGCACGTTCGGTGTCTGGAGTCTGTGGAGTATCCTTGGAGGGTCACAAGTGACTGGGATGTGGTTTCTTTGTTGATAAGGTGCATAATTCTACTGCAGGTCAAATGTGATGTCAAACAGTTTAGCTGAAATGCCCATGAAAGGTTTAGCAGAATCTGTTTTATTGTGTTTGAAGTAGACTGAATATTATACTTTTCATTGTTGAGATGGGAGGAATATATTCTTAAGAGGTACTAATACAGTCTCTCCTGTGGGTCTGAGTATTTTGGTGCAACACACCATGCCCACCATTGTTTAGAGAAAAAAAAAAAAAACAATGGGGAGCTATTGAGCTGAGTATTTCAGTAGTAATATCTTTTCTCCCTCTGTCTAGGTACCAACAGAATCAGCCACGCAGTTCAGGGGGCACACGAGGGTGGGATATTTGCGCTGTGTATGCTGCGGGATGGCACATTGGTGTCAGGAGGTGGCAAAGACCGGAGGCTGATATCCTGGAATGGAAATTACCAAAAACTGCACAAAACTGAGGTGGTGGCACCTACCTTGAAATTGCTTTGCTACTCAAAATGAAATTTTATCTGTCTTCTCAACAGAGCTTTTTAAATCAGTTTTTTTCTTATGGATGTGTACTCTGTGGTAAAACAAATCAGTGGTAAAATTCACCATTATTTGAGTCATCAGGTCATTCCTGTGATAGCCTATTCATTAGCATGGTATTTCCTTTTAAAGATCTAAGATTACTGGAAAACAAATCTTTATTATACTTTTTAATATGTATAATATATAATA